TTTTTAATAAATTTTTATATTAAGAAAATTATGTAGGCTTTAATACTTCAAATAATTATTAAAAGAATTCACTTCAAAGAGAACCTTTTATTAATTTGTGAAATTATGCAAATAAAAAATCAGTAAAAATAAAAGTTATTTTATTTTAGTAGAGAACTAAGCTATTTATTTCATGCATAACTTTTTTTGTTGTCTAGTAGTTAAATTGGGCCTACGGTAACCTCACTCACATGGTAGTACTCAACGCTGTGGTTGTTTCACACCGGTTTTCTGTAAGAACCATCACTCATGTCACTTCGGTCGAGCCGACCAGTTCGTGTACGAGCTTAGCTCTCGCACACTTAAATTTATAAGTTATGTATAAGAAAATACATTACAAAATGCTTAAGATGTGCCACTATTTTCGTCCACAAGTGTAATTATATACGCAAATAGCGTGTTCTCGTTCGCTGTGACCACAATGCTTAGCCCAGCGTGAACTTACAACGAAAATGTGTTTGTTACTGTACATTTCGCCTAAAGGGTGGTGTGTTTTCCATAGGTATTTTGTTTATCAGTAGTTTATATGTCGTGGTTGCCACGAGGTCAAATCGCCCGCTGTTCGTACCAGGTAGTTCGAGTTTGAAATCTGACAGGTGCCGATGTGACTTTTTCCGAGTTTCATATACTTTCTTTCCTTATAGCTCGTTAGGAATCTTAGACCAGGTTTGATTTATTCAGATAAATTGAGAACCCTTCTCAAACGACCGAGACCTTTGCCGACCTATTACATAAAAAAAAAAAACGAACTGGATGGAAGAACCAAACCCGAGCGTACAGCGTATTGCAGTATGCGTGCGCCTTAAAAAGGCAGGCTACCACATATGGGGTCCACTAGGGCCGATGTCCAGCCAGGGTTGTGGGTACAAGCGTAATGATGAACCACGTCTCGTATCAGAGTGGGGGAAGGAATGGAATGGGTTATTTTTTTTTATCACCATAAGTCTTTCCCTCCTGTGTTAGCACAAAAACTATCAAATAAACCGATTTATGTTTGAAATATAACGAGTAGGTATAAGTTATCTTAAAAAAATATTTTTCAGAGGCGTATTTATTAACTTAAAAAAAATGTCATCGCTGCTCGTTTATTTAAGTCCTTCCTGCCATAATCTTAATTAACTCGGACAGCCAAATTTTTATTTAAATAACTCTGACCATTACGTAATAGATATCTAATTAGGATGGCATTTAAAACCTTATTTTCTTCTCTTTTGCTTTTCATCATAAGTCTAAGTTACAGATGAAAATTCAGTATTTTCAACGAAAGAAATATATACAAGTACAAACATATTTAAGTTAGTTATGGACATGAAAGCCTCGTTTATAAATTATTATTATTGTGTACGAAGTATATAGGGTACATTAAGGGAAGTTAGATTTCTAAGGGCTGATTTTTCAACAGTCAGATAAATGTTAACTGAGGAATAAAATTGTTGCTGTCACTGTCTTATACAAACATTCTGACGCGACAGCATCATAATTATTCACCAAACAACTTTTAACTAACCATTGAAAAATCAGCCCTTAATCAGACAAAATATTAAATAATTAAGTTTCAGGATTTTCGACTTAAAACAATAAATTCTTTGTTTTCGCACGGAGTCTGCATTTCGATTAGGCCCATTGCATATTAAACCTTATCCTGCTAGAATATTAAAAAGTGAAAGTTCTATCAAGCAAAAACAGCTTGACCTATTTGGTTAAAATTAGATATGTATGTTTATTACAGAGGTTACTTTTTATCAACTTACCAGCGAGTAGCTAGGTAGTGTCGCTAGTTTACAATATACTAGCTACTTTCGCGCGGTTTCACCCGCTGCTCGGCGTCATTTGATCTTAGCGTGATGTTTTATAACCTGTAGCACTCAGGAACATTGTAGCTATCTATCAGTGAAAGAATTTTAGGAATCCGACCAGATGTTCCAAAGATTACCCCCTACACACAAACTTAAAAATTTTACCTCTTTATAATATTAGTATAGATGTAACTACTCTTATTTTGAATACCAAGACACAAACGATAACAGAAACAAGTTTTCATATAATTCAAGTCAAAGTCACAGAATAACAAGAATGACACATCCTGTATGTTTCACGACAGGTACAGTTCGTTGCGTTTACTGTTATTTCCCTGAGAAAACGTTATCGTTTTCGTTACCTACGTATTTACCACAGCGAACTAAATGTATATTTAGTTCGCTGTGGTTTGTATTATTATTTGTTTGTTCTATCCTTTCACGGCACCACAGGGTCCCGGGTCCCTTTGGAAGGCGTACGAGGAGCCGAAGCCAAGTCGCAGAGGCCCGTTGAACAGTTTTAATCTAAATGTGATGGGACATCAGCCGGCAATTATCCCTGTATGCACTATATACGAGTAAGTGCACCCAAGGACAATCCCCGGTTGATGCAAGACTATTGTGAAATGTGGTAAAAATTTATAGGGTTATGAATATGGGTTGCTATGGACTGGTGGATATGATAACTATGGAAATACTATGGCCCCTGCCCCTGACCAATATTGATACATACGGATAAACAGGCAGGGGGTGACTGGCAAACTCAATTAATTATTATTATTAATTGTTTTGTATTTTGATTTTTGTTGTTCTATAGCCGTATCCACAATATTTGGAATTAGATCTATTAAAAGCCTCAGTATCAGCATTCAGTCTAGAATATTGAGCGCGGAAATTGTAAATACTTTACCACTCAAAATCAATACCATGATGTTAGTAGTTGCGAGGCAGCATTTGACAAAGGATTTTGAAAGGATTGATTCCTAAAAAGGAAAGAAAGAGGAGAGCTCTTTCTTTCCTTAAGAAATGAAAACAAGATCATTTCATTTTAAACTAAGTTTTAATATAAAACAATAACAGTTCATATTTGGGTACGATATGCGTTATAACAGAAATGTATTTTTAATTAATTTTTCAATTAACATACCTAAATATGATAACATTAATCTGACCTCGACAATGTAACCATTAATGATCATCACAACACAACATTATTATAAGAGCTCATAGCTAAGCAAAAGGCTTCTTCTCACACGGAGAAGATTTAGCGAAATGACTTAAGATGTACAACTACTATACTAACATTTACATAATAACTATTTATCAGAAATATAATATCATTGTTTCAATAAGTCTTTTCTAATCAAAATGCTTCTTAATTATCACTTAATTTTTTTATGTTATATGATGGCAGACGAGCAAACGGATTACCTCATGGTAACCAGTAGGCGCCGCCCATGGACACCCGCAGCAACGGAGCGAGGAGTTACGCGTGCGTTGCCGCCCTTAACTTTAGGTTATTAGGGATTTTGAGATTTTGGGATTGGGGACAGATTGGGGGAGGGGAAGGATTGGGCCTCCGGTCACCTCACTCACACGGGGAAATACAACGCTGTGCTTGTTTCTCGCCGGTTTTCTGTGAAGCATGGTACTCTTTTACTTATTTTTTTACAATAGTAATACTTAATTATTACAATAGATTTTTTCTCATCTTCATATCAAAGTTAAACTGAAGGAAATGCTTATTAATTTTCACTCTAATACCATTTACGTAAAATCCTAAAATCCGTCTCCAGTATAAAGTTGTTCTTGCTTAAAATTTATAGGATATTTCAAAGGAGGTTTATATCTGTAGTACCAAGGAATTGTCAGCCCATAGTTCTCGTAGTCTATATGTACATGTAAAAAGAAAAAAACAAACATTGACATTTCCTTGAAGAAAGTTAAAACCAAAAATATTGAGTCTAAAGACGATGGTCGTAAAATAATTTATAACAGTGCCATCTGTGATTTCAAATTTTTTTATTAGATAACAAAATCAAACTTTTGCGTGGAATGCATCAGCAATAAATTGCCAATCTGAAAATTTGATATGACTTTTAAAATACATTAAAATAAATGCTTATTAAATATTTAAATTCTATTATAACTATAAATACCAAGCTTACTTTGGTACGAAGTTTATTAGCACTTGAATTAGTAAAAATATTGTAATTTTTTTTTGGCGTTGAAAAAAAACAGCACGAGAAAACTTTTTTTACTGTAGTAAAAAGTACCATAAAAGTGTGCTGAGCATAAACTTAGCTTTAGCCAACTTGTCACTAAGTAAAAATAATTAATTATACATACGTATCATTCTAGAACTCAACCCAGGAATCGAAATTAAGAACACACTTCATCCATATTATTTATGTAATAGTTTAAGAAAATATTTATTAACATACGAGTGTGAAGTATAATTATATTGGCTGATTAAATGCCTTATTTAGAACGGAACAAAATCAAATGACCTTCTTTGTGCAGACCTAGAGGTTGTGTCAGACTCTTACTGACTAAACATGACCCCATTCCTTCTCCTACTCTAGGCCGGGGTCGCGGTACATTCTGGCGCTTTACTCCGGGAATTTAATGCCTATTGTCTTTCCTATTCTAACAATCAAGCCATGGGTGATATAGAACCCGAGCGTACGGCGTGTAACGTTCCGCGCGCGCTTCAAAGAGCCAATAGACCACCACAGACGGGGCCTTATAGGGCTGATGTTCAGCCGGGGTTGCGGGGTAAGCGTAATGAGGCACCGCGACCTCGGCCCAGAGCAGGAGAAGGAACAAGGGGGTTTTTAGTCAGTAAGACTCTGACACTCCCTCCCGCCCGGCCCTGGGCAAGAGAAGTCATTTGATGATTTTCCCCTCCCAAAAAAAAAATGGGTGATATAGACATACCTAACAGTAAGTATAATATTAATGGTTAGCAATTAAAACATCAGTTTAATTATATATTTATTCAAACGAATGCACAACATGTATTGTCTAAGCCACAGTCATTCGCTTCTTTCACTTCTAATAGCCGCGGACATTTGTAATGGTTTGAAACGCACTCACCCCCTTTTGAATGACAGGTGACGTCTTGAGAGGCTGAAACAAATTAGGAAAATACACATCAAATCATCAATCTATAAATTTTGAAATATTAACAACAACAAGTAGGTTGTAAAACAGTACTTTTACACGTTACAATAAAGTATATGCAAAAAAAAAGTAGAAGACGACGGAATTTTCTGACTGACTACTCTGAGAATAAATGCCAAAATAAACTCAAAGGTCCGTCTATTTCCGCCGGCTAAGCTAAGGTATCTATCCTCCCACATAAAGAAGGTTTGAGCAATAATCGCATCCTCATCCATGACATACTGACGCTTTAGCCTCTTGAAAATGACGACAGATGTAATAAATAAATTATTATTATTATTTAAAGAAAACTTAATCCTCAGCCTATCTTAAGAGTGCCGGGGCTGCGGGGTAAGCGCAATGAGGCACCGCGACCTCGGCCCAGAGCAGGAGAAGGAACGGGGGGGTTTTTAGTCAGTAAGAGTCTGACACTCTCTCTCGCCTTACCCTGGGCGGGAGAAGTCATTGGATGATTTTCCCCTGACAAAAAAAAAAAAAGCCTATCTTAAGAGTGTCTATTAACTTTTGTGGTCAGGTGTTTGATAATTCGTAATCAAACAGTGGTTGCATATGGGTCGACGTGATCCATCATTTGTCGCATCATCGCTTATCACAAGGCAAGCCAAACGCTAGCTCATAACTTGACCTGCCTAAAGGTTAATAAAAACAAGCTAAGTAAATGCATATCTCAAGAACAGTGGCTTTATAGTCTAAATAGAAAAGGATTTTCAATAAAGTTCAAGATCAAAGAACTAAAAACAATATAAAATTATGACTATCCATGGAATGAGTCAACAGTCAACATTCATAATAAGGTTATTGAAATTATAAAGGTAAACAAGAGGTGAATTTTATAATAGGTATAATTCCAATGTCTATTTTATCTTTTGTTCTAGGTTCAGCAGGTATCAATAACAAGGGTTCTCATTGATTGCGGCTGACTCATTCTGTTTATGTAGAGGTGAAAGAGTAATCAATAAAATTCATCTTATGGTTACTGCAGTAGACTTTGAACCTTAGCAGCTTCACCAACGTCTACTATTATTCTATTTTAATGTTTCAAAATCGCCTGTATATTATGGTTTAGATGGAAAAATGATTAGTGACTGGAAATTGTTCAACTACATATTTGACCTTTTTGTAGCGTCTCAGTCTTGGCATCTCATTTGGACTAATAATTATTTATATCAGAGAGTCAGCTTGAAATTTTGAGTACTTGTTTGTGCGACTTTTCTGAATATTTTTTGGTCTGTATTGTTCGTTGGACAATTCAGAAATGCCCATACTGACACATGCATGCCTGCTATCAGAATGGATCCACTCAAACTTACTCAATATCACAATACAACTGATATTATGAGTGAGATATTTCGTAGTTTTGTAACTATACTTATAGGACTTCTAGTAAAGATTCGAATAACATATAAAGGATAAAAAATAGGATAAAATTCTACTAATTCATGATCGTTAAACTTCATAACACCGCCATATTGCTAAAAGGTGGAAACGAGGCCGTAATACTTCCTCGAACAAACTTACATAAGGTGCTTAACTAGTGAAGTATAAACAAAGTTGTTGAGCTCACTGACCCGAAATGAATGTTGGCTTCTGAATCAAGAACTCTCCACTTAGTACTGTTTATTTCTTACATTTTAGGAACTCTTGGAAATGTTATTTTATGTCCTAGATATTATTATACGATATGTTTTGGTGTAGTTACTTTAATGAGACTTACTGCCTACGTTTAATGAAAATAATGACTTCCTCACGTGAATTAAAACTGAGAAAAGCTCAACTAGTATCAAATTATAACAGTGTTTTAATTCATGGACAGTCTGAGCGTTCCGGTAACGTTGACCAGCTGTTTCTGTGAAAGTAGTAATCCTCACTAAATTGACGTGAGTAAGTTTATTTAAAGTAAAAAGATTACTTCAAGAAGGGAATGGTTTCTGAGCATTTTTTTATCTATCTGAGAATTTGATTTGTGTGCTTAATTTTTGTCGATGACCGTACTCCATAAAAGCGAAGATTTTATAATAAAAAGCACATTACAGAAGCAGCTACTCTAAATATCACTAGAATTATTACATCAAAATATTATCCGGGCTATTTAAAGTAATATGTTTATTAAAGTTGCCTAGGCAGCTATAGCGTAAAATACAAATCACAAGAGATTGGCCCCGGATTTGCACGGGCGCAATCCTGACATCTACTAAATTTCTCCTCTAAAAATGTCATCATTCGTATAAACCGCATCAAAATCCTGTGCGTAGTTTTAAAGGTTTGCGCTTGCATATGGATATAGGGACAGAGAAAGCGACTTCGTTTTATACTATGTAGTCATTTCCAAATGTTTCCAAAAATGGTACTTACTTGGTCGGCAACACTCCATGCCCTGCTCTTGTTGAACTGGACACAGTCCCCTTGTTGCCACTCTAGTGCCGTCTGGACAATACATTGGTTTTGCACAAGTACCACCAACTATCATGCATGGGAGCTCGAAAAACGGCGCGTTTCCAGCTGCAATAAAAAACAAATAAAAAAAATCTTATAGAAAAATGTACGTCTCCAGAAATTTAAATCTAAGGGCCTCTGATATCGGTAAGTACCAAATGAATTTCAATATAGAACGCAATTTTTATAAACTGTGTGTCACATAAGTAGATACTCATATGAAGATATACTCGTAAAAACAAGTCTTGAAAAACTATTCAAAGTTATGCTACGGGTATTCTAAGGAACTTCAATGCAGTGGTTTATAAGCAAATATTTAGCTGTTGGGGATAATAGTTAAGGCAGTATGTAAAGGACCAGTCTAGATGAAGTTCATTGACCCCGTGTGTCTTTCTGGTTTCTGCATATCGAAGAAAATCATGAGTTCATGGCCTCGTTTACGCACGCGCATAGCGTTCGGCATAGATTGCTTCGATCTTAGTGTTTGCGCGGGCGATGACACGGTCCAAAGCTGCAATGTATCCGTAAATCAGGTTTATATTCGTACATTTAAATACTGTACCTATCCTGATATTTTTTGTAGAAACACGCCGAGTTGGAGTTCTAGTCGGTCCAATTGTTACGTGATGTACAACTGGTCCTATGTAACAAATCAAAGTAAAAATAGCAGTTTCTTTCCAAAAAACTCTTAAAAGACTAAAGAATTTGAATGTCAAAAAATCACAATTATTTTTGACAACCTTTATATTAATTTATAGAATCAGGCGTTACTTTGCGAAAATCCATGACATGAAATGTTAGGGAAAATATTAAGTTTTAATTCCGCGACAAAAATCATGCATATGCACATGCAGCAAAACGGATTAACGTTTGATTGCGTGGCATGTTTTTCCGTTTTGTGTATGTGTGCATATGCATGTACCCTTGCTGCATGTGCATATGCATGGTTGTATAGGAGTGGGATTGCATCCTGCAACAAGCCTGGATTGAACCTAAAACTAAATATTTTCCCTAACATTTAACCTTTATATTTTTAAGAAACTGATTATTAAATATTACGTTAAACTACATCTACAATTCAAAAAAACACTATACGATAATTGTTAAAACAATTATTATTTAGTTACACCGAGTGAAAGGGATGATAAAAAATGGCTTACCACCAGGCGAGATTATGGTCAAATGACCACATATCTATGCAATAGGCTGTAAAAAAAATTCTTTGACTGACCCACTTAAGGCCATATCTAAGAGTATGCAATGTTTATTTACTCCAACCTTTGTTTACGAATAAAGATAAGCAGTCAACACTTTTATGACTAAACTGATAGTACTATTGACAGATTAGCAGATTATTACGCAAAGATAACATTCGCCAATAATACCTAACATTATAGTAGTTAGCACACATGGTCGGAGAATGGATTATTGCTTTTTTAAATAAATAATTATACGTTGCTAAGCAATTCTTAAGTATTTTCATTTAAAAATGTTTGAAGCCAGTTTTAATTATGTAATTTTCAAAATTTCTTCGTAAATAATGTACTTAAATAAAAAAAATACAGATAAGCAAAAAATTAAAACATCATAAAGAAATATATATTAACAAAGTTTTTTAATCTGTTCAAAATTCAGAGGAACATAAAAAAGATATTTTAAGTTGTTCAGTGATTTTAATTAAAATTACATTTTGATTTTTCATTTCGCTAAACTACTAAATAAATAAATTAAAATAAAACTTACCATTAGGATTTATAACTGGCACCAATTCGTAACGATCAGAGTCCAAAAGTTGTGATGACCACATAACGTTTAAAATTAAAATAAAAAATAAAATTTTAAAATGCATTTTTTCAAACACGACCTTTCTCACCCAAGTATCTAAGACGAATGATAATTTATTGGAAAAAAACTTGTATTTATTGCGCATAAATACACAATACTCTTTTCTTTCATTGGTTAAGTTATAATGTTACAACACGATAGTAAGCGTAATACTGAAAGTATTCATATATATATCTTGATTCAAGTTCATTGACCGATTCGTAGAAAGTACAGGATGTAATAATTTTCTCGTTTTTTCAGTCAATTATGACGTCGTGTCGCCATTGATATAATGTTATGTTTTTGAACATACTTTTATTAATGCTATATGTTGCAAACTATGTAATAAAATCTAATAATTTAAATAAAATTATGTACACTACTAACTCTGGAGTCATACAATATCCTAAAAATTTTAATTATGTAGGTTCTATAGAACGTTTGTCGGGGTTTTTTTTTGTGAGGGGAAATCATCAAATCGCTTCTCCCGCCCGGGGCCGGGCGGAAGGGAGTGTCAGACTCTTACTGACTAAAAACCCCCCTGTTCCTTCTCCTGCTCTGGGTCGCAGTGCCTCATTGCGCTTACCCCGCAACTCCGGCTCAACATCAGCCCTAAACGGCCCCGTCTGTGGTGGTCTATTGGCTCTTTGAGGCGCGCGCGCAACGCTACGCGCCGTACGCTCGGGCCTGGTTCTGGTTGGGCGGCGAGCTGCCCTTACTCGCCGACCGCAGACCCTGATACGGTTGCTGGAGATCGTCCCTTGACGTTTGTTGGGGTTGCGGGGTAAACGCATTAAGACACCGTGGCTTGGCTTAGAGAAGGAGAAGGAACGCTGGGATTTTAATCAGTAAGAGTCTGACACGCCCTCTTTGGCCTTCCTTGGGCAAAAGAAGTCATTGATGATTTACCCGTTACAAAAAAAAAATATAAAATAGTTGCACAGAACGTTTAATTACGAATTATAAAGCAGCTGGTGAAAAATTGGTCTATCGACTTGTTTGGGGTTGCGTAGCAAGCGCAGGCCGCGGCCTCTGACCGGAGTAGGAGAAGGAAAAGGGTGTTTTATAATCAGTAAGAGCCTGAAATCTCTCAGGTCTATCCTAGGGTAGGAGAAATAATTCGATCCTTGACCAGGACCCCGATACATTAAAGTGCTTGCACCCACATCCCCGTGACCCTCTTTTTAGGTACCTGATACAACATACTATATAACTTCCGCCATCTTACCTCCAGACAATCGGCACGTCATCGCTTCATGATGGATATCCCGTCCACTTGCCCGTAGCGGTTCGCCTCCATTTTTATTATCAGAATTGCTAAGGAATTCTTTGCTGGAGTCTTTGTTCCCCCAAGGGTATATGTGCACTTGGGTATCTTCAAGGCCCGAGTGAATAAATTACTAAAGGGTATGCCTGCTGCATAGTTAGGTCGCATCATCGCTTATCACCAGGCTGACACTAGATAATAAAAAAAAACTCAATTTCGTCGAATCTGAAGTTCGATAATACTTTTCTCGTCCAAAAATTGTCTCTTAAGTCCGTTCCAAGGCATTTCTACTTACAATGCCTGGACTCATGATGTAGTCAGATTTTAAAACAGCACGTTATTGGTTTTATTTTCATTGGATGTTTAAACTACTTTTTTGTAAATCTTTTTAAAATAAACGTTGCCCCACATTAGAATTTTCTCCTGTGTCGTGGGTACGGTTACAAACATACAATTTCACATACACATGACACCCAGACCCGGAACAACAATTTGTGGATCACACAAAGAGTTGTCCCGTGCGGAAATCGAACCCACGACACGTTGCACGGCAGCCAGTTGCCCGGCCACCGCACCAACCGTGCAGTCAACGTTTTATTCAAGCAAGTCATCAAATCAATCAAGTCGTCAAAGTCAAGTCAATGTTTTATTTTTTATTATTAATCACGTCATTTGTTATATTGAGGTTAGTTTTCTCTTTAATGATATGTAGCTATAACATTCTTATTTAAGATTTAGGATTTCCTTTGTTATTTACATTCAACTTTGAATCTAAAGTCGTTGAGATAGGACACAAACTTATTTGAAAATACTCATAACCTGTGTAATGAAACAGAGTATCGGTAATTCTCCAAGTGAAAGCCTAAATGGCTTTGAACCTAGCGGCTTTCTTCGTCGTAAACTTTCACTGTATTATGTGCTATGCAAAATAAATTGTATGCAGAAAATGACCATACATCGTCTTTGTAATGTGCAACTGACATTGACCTTCTTTAACCTATCAATAGATTTTAGAGTTTATTGCAATACAATAAAGCTGATAATCAATAAAGAATCTACCTTAGATTATGACTATGTGTGCTAGGTATGTCAGTTTACATGTTGAGAGCATTACTCAAAGGTATAAGTAAGGGGCAGGTAATCAGGTATCCAATAAAATACATTTACTTAATCTTTAACTAGCTTTCGCCAGCGGCTTTGAAGGCGTATAATTAATAGTCTTTAGCACTAAAAACATTGTATCTATCCATCAATGATAGGAAGTGAAAATCTGACCAAAGATTACCCCCTACATACAAAAACCTATTTATAATATTATTAGAGATAATTCCCATTAAGATTTCGTATTCTTCTAGAATGTGTATGTTCCTAACTGTTATTAATTTTTAGACTCCTTACTTATATTTATTGAACCGGAATCATCAGCCAACGCGCATGCTGCCCATGAACAATAGTACCGTTGTGACTTGGGGGACTTTAATTCTTCTATCAATCTATAGATGTCAAAAGTATAACTTATTTTAAGGGGAAAATCATTCAGTACCTTTTTCTCCAGATGGGGCGAGAGTATTGTCAGATTCCTTTTTTGTGTAGGGAAAATCATCAAATGGCTTCTCGCCCAGTATATGGCAAGAGATAGTGTCCGACTCATACTGGATATCGGCCCTAGTGAACACCAAATAAGTCATGAACTCAAATCGAGTTCTTTATTCATTGGGTTATCTGAATTTCCATTCATTACTCCCCGTGTTATGACCTAGAAAATGGTAGCTTAACAATTTTATTTCTTGATAACGTAGAGATTTAATATACATATTTTATCAACTTTTTCAAAAAATATTTTTCTTTCTTATTTAACAGTACAGAGCTTATTTAATTACAAAATCTCCCTAATTAAAATTACCTTTTGAAAAAAGACGATCACTTGCGCAAATGGAGTCCCCCGTAAAGCTAATACAATATTATTTTCTGTTTTACTTTTATGTCATTCACTATTTAAATATTAATCTTAACCATTCTTCCAAGAAGTATAACAGCGACCTTACTCAACATTACGTCACACGTATGGTCTAGGAGTGGGATAGCCCCAAAAAGTTCAAGGTGAAATTTCTCAGACGTAAATTCCCCAATGGAATCATTCAACCTTAGGTTCATGCTAATTGTTTCGAATAATGCTTACCGCTCGAGGTTCTGGGTTTTATCGAATGTGAGTAAACAGTTACGATTGTTCGACGATGTGTTACGACGTTCTTGTGGAACGTGCGCGAGTGCGAATCATGCGGCGGATAAAATTGGTAATATTTTGTCTGATTAAATTGTCATTATTTTATGGTAAGCCTTTGTTAGCTCGGAATTCATTAGGAAACCATTATTAGTTTGACTGCACGTTTGACGAGATAGCTAGGCAACATGCTGCCGTACGACGTGTTGCCTCCTGTGATCTACAAATTGTTGTACCGCGTCCGGGTGTAAATGAAATGTTATGTGTGTCAACGCACTCACGGCACATGAAAAAAAAATTTATTTACGGTGCTTTTTCCCTGGGTCCTTAGAAAATGTACAATGAAGCCTCAATGCCATTGGTTTTGAACCTGATCTCACCAATCACTTTGATCTGGTTTTATCGGAATCAGAGAGCGAAAGAACAGAAAGCGCATCTGTGTTTTGCGCACACCCTAGATCTGTTTGAAATCTTTAACATTGTGTGGAGGAGCCATGCTTCGACACGAATGGGCCGGCTCGACCGGAGTGATACCACGGCCTCACAGAAAACCGGAGTGAAACAACACTAACGTTGTGTTTCGCTGTGTGAGTGAGGTTAAAGAAGACCCGACCCTTCTTCCTTAGTCTTTAAATCCCCTATCCTTTAATCCTTAATAACATACAAGAAGTCGGCAGCGCACTTGTAGGAACTCCTTTGGTATTACGAGTGTGTATGGGTGGCGCTGATTGGTTATCTGTCTGCTCGTTTGACGACCTATGAAATAAAAAAATGGTCTAGTTTAGTTAGACAGAGTAACCAGAGAATTTAAACCTTTTTGAAGTGTGATCTTCAGCTAATCTTATAATCATGGTAGCTATGGAAACCCCAAAAAAATAACAAAATTGAAATGGCAAGAATATATTGATGATAAAAAAATGTTTATTTATTGCTTGGAATTAAATTCATAGCTATAGTGCGGTTGTAAAAGCTACCTTTGATTTTCTACAATAACGCAACTCAGGATTTGGGAATGGGAATGGGTGAAAATAAATAAGAAAAATACATCCTATAGTTATGTAAGTTGAACATATACTTAACAAACAAAATATAATCTACTTCATTATTATATTTTAATTTTAATTTGAGGTACATTTTTATTTTGATGTGTCGTCCTGTTACACGCATTGTCGTGTTGACTTGGCAAGTACCAATGTGACTTTTCCGAGTTAAATATATTTTCTTAGTTGATTTAGTTACTACTGACAAACGAAAAGAACATTAACTAAAAATCGCGGGTTACTCACGTGTATATATTGAGAAAAGCTCTACTAGTTTCGAACCACAGAGGAGTTCTTCCTCATGAGCAGCGTGCGCGGACGCGGCGACGTCGCGCAGCCTACTGGATATATACACGTGAGTAACCCGCGATTTTTAGTTAATTTAGTATGTCTCACGATAGTTATTATGAAAAAAACATCGTGAGGAAACCTGAATCTATAGTTTCTAATTGTAAGCTTGAAATCACCAAACCTCTATCTTGAGCAAGCGTGGTGATTTCTGCTCAAAAAATATTTCTGAGAGTGAGTGCCTTTGTCTATAGTGGGCACTTATAAGCTGACTAGCTTCCGCCCGCGGCTTCGCCCGCGTGGTATGTTGATAACAAGTAGCATATGTCCTAATTCCGGAGTGTATCCTATGTCTGTGCCAAATTTTATCTAGAAAGTCCAGCTGTTTTGGCGTGATTGAGTAACAAACATCCAAACATCGTGATGTTCGCATTTATAATTAATTTTAGAAGGATAATGTATCGTTAAATTTATTTATTTTGAGTTTTTTGAAAAGAAGATCTAAGTGAAAATTAAAATGCTTGGTGTGTTTGTAAAGAAAATACTTAATAATAATTCAATGACGTTACAGTTTAATTTACAAATATTATTGGTTATAGATACAGCATATTTCGTCGTGTTTACAATCGGATGTGCCTTCTATCTGCATAATTTCGGGGCATTCATCTGCAGATGCCATGCACACTCCGTTTATAAAAATGCATGTTTTTTCGGTGTTCGCTGCAACAATCATTTAATTAATTAATAGATTAAAAAGTATATTAAATATGAAATAAAATTAAAATTTTAACAATTTATTTAAAATTAAAGTTTCATTTTTAATTTTAATTAAACAACAGATTTAATGTAATTTTTATACTTATATAAATTATTAGAAAAACCATTACTTTTGCCTTTGTACATGTATTGGTCAGGATGGCGTCCTTGTTTGGTTTTATCCACCGGTCGCGCCACCCTATCTACATGCAAAAAAGATATATTATTTCAAACAGTAAGTATAAAAATATAATATTACCACTGACCTAAATATGTCAGTTTGAGACCCAAATCATATTCAAACACGTGGAAGACAAAATAAAATATTATTTTCAACACAGATGAATAAATTTATTTTAATAAATATAAACATACAATTTAATTTAATAAATACAATCCAATTTTTTTACAGATTTTACAAATCAAATAATATTAAATATAAAATTAAAAATAATATTATGCTTTAATTTATTGTACTCAGAAAATACAAACTAAGTCAGAATATGTCGTAATAATGTATGTTGCCGAAGAACTTACTGGGTCTGCAGCATTCAATGCCTAATTCCTGTTGGTCTGGACAGAGTCCTTTTCGTCCAACTCTGGTCCCTGTTGGACATGCAAACGCTTTGGCACAAGTACCACCAATCCTCATACACGGTAGCTCGAAGAACGGTGCTTGTAAAGCTGGAATTGATAAAACTGATAAGAAAATCACTTTAAAAACAAAAACACGGAATCAATAAGACCAGAAGAGACCAAATCCTACTTCTTTCTCTCTATCCCTTTATCACCATATCGACAATTATTCCAATCTTCAAATATGTAGTGTTGCGAGTATCCATGGACAACGCCAATCGCTTGCCATCAAGCGCGGAAATTGTGTATTGGAAAGGACCTCTTTGTATGATGATGATAATATGACATCAAAATATAAATTTCATAACTATTGATACAAATACGATAAAGATATCGTCTTGGCAATAAAGTCAAAATAAAAATAAATAAATTTTACTGCAACTACAAAATAGTAAAAATAAAAACTGGTCTTTACCCTGAACTTCGTTGTATTTTTCGAATGGCACCGTTGCACTGTATACAAGATAAGCAAAAACACACATCAAAAAGCTAACTTGGCAGCACATTTTTGTAGTACAACCGATTCCTTCGACGTTCTAAAATTAAATGTCTCTTCACACTGCCCTATGAAATAATATTGTGTATTTCGTGAGAAAGTTATTCATTATATTTGATATCAACTATATTAGGCAATACAGTAGATGACGCAACTTCTAGCCTAATAATGAGATGTTTAAATTCTTCTTACAAAAACAATAGCTTCTGTTTTGTTTTTTATTGAAGACAAAAAATAACTGTGAAGGGTTTTAGAAATTTCATCAATTGTGTAGTTTAGAATGAGTTCTAAATTTAATTTCAAAAATTCTTTATAGGCATTACGGATTTTACCATCATTTTTTCTAATGTAAAGTTCTATTTCTGTGCGGACTCCTAACTCAAATCTTTAATGAGAGAGCGAGAGCGAGAGAGAGAGAGAGAGAGATTGGCTACCGTTTGTTGGAGGTCGACAATATGTCATTTCTCGCCCTAGGTGTAGATATAGTGATTGCCAGACTCGTCCAAAACTAAACACCATAACGTTTCTTCTTGTGAAACGAAGGCTGATGTGTAGTCGATTGACTTTTAAAAAAACGGTTTGTTAGCTCTTGCTGAAAGGTTGGCTGAATCGTGACCATCATAAGCTTAAGTGTATAATAAATTACAATAATATATAAGTATATGTTATTTATTATTATAAAATTTCAGTATGTTTGTATATTGTGACTATCTCGTACGTCATGTCTAATATAAAATTTAAGTCTGTTTGTTTGCTCCTTGCACCAATCATTGACTCATCTCTACATCACCTAAGGCTCGATAGAAATGCCTTAGGCATTAAGTCCGCCTATGTACCCATTGTTATATAGTTTAAATAATAAGAAAAAATATTCCAAATATATTCAGTTCCGTTTAGTATCATCATCATCCATTCTTCCAACTGTTTTTATTAACAAACATTTGCGTTTTTATAGTTGTAATACTAAAAGGACTCTTCTGGATGTTGAAATACTTATCAATATGTTATTCATCATCATAATAATTATCAGACTATTAGTGCCCACTGCTGAGGAGTCTCACACGGAGAAGGTTTGAGTATTAATCTACGGCACTATTCAAAATGGGTGCAGACTGGAATTGATGGAGACAATTCCTCTAATCCATGTACCTGGATGTGGATGACCTTTTGATCAACTGAATTGTTGTGGTAACACTACTTACGAAAATTGAAGTTAATTATAGTCTAATAAGCTTCAAATTTCAATTCAAGAACTTAATGTTCTGTTTGGATTAGGACATGAAATACTATCTGTTGTCAATACTTTTATTTTTTAACTTAACTAATCGAATGTTTTAATTTCAATGCGGAACATCACTTTAGTTGTAATAAGAATACTTGATTTTTTTAGCAATAAATGTAGTCTATACATGTCTATAATAATCTATACTAATATTATAAAGATAATTTGTAAGTTTGTATTTAGGGGTTAGTCTTTGGAACAGCTGGTCGGATTCCCAAAATTCTTTCACTTATTGATAGCTTCAATGTTCTTGAGTGCTATAATAGGCATATATAAAACATCACGCTACGATTAAGAGGAGCTAAGCAACGGGTGAAACGGCGCGAGAGTAGCTAGTTCAATGATAAAATTGTACATTTAGAACTCAGTATGCTTTTAGTTTATAAATAACAATTTATTACATACCAATATACAAAACTTAATATTAACACTTTATTTTAATTTTTTAATTTTTAATTTCGGCTATTTTTATTAAGATATGTAAAAATATAAATAAAATAAAATTAACACAAATTAACAGAAATGAATGTCATTTCTTTTTGTTATAATTAATTGCTGATATTTTCTCTAATTTAAAATAAATATACAGTTTTATAAAGTTATATAAATCTTGTCAAAAACTCTAAAGTGCTGCGAGCATTCAAATACTTTGGGCGCACAAGCAGAACGACTGTTGCAGCAATTGGTCTGCATTTTATCTGAAACAATACAAATCATTACTGGCAATTATTCAAATTAATCACTTTATTTATTTTCGACCGTAAAATTTTCCTTTTTTAGTAATTTAATTTACATATCTCATTCGACATGTCCCTTCGAGGATTAATGGTATGACATTTACGTTGTTTGTATAAAAAAAAACTAGTGGTTCGCGCGTATTCAGTGCTGATAGTAAATGACTCCTACTATTTAATGGATATTATTTTACATATAAACCTTACTATCCGTTAAAAAAAGGGTCATCTAAATCTGTTATGTAGTTTTAAAGATTTAAACATACAGAGGGATATAGGGTCACAGAAAGCGACTTATTTTTTTTCTATGTAGTGATAAAACTGTTTGATACTAGGGCCTTTAAAAATACCTGCGTGAAATATTTAAAGCGTTTTGTGCCTTGTGCGAGAGTTACTGAATGCTCTAATATCCAAACTCTCAAATCCACAATTAATAAAAGGCCGTCCAATACCGCAAAATTTATACTAATTACTATTCAGTTTTACATCATCATTTTAATTTATGAGATCTTCTATAGTAAAAAAATATTAAATTCGAATTCGAATTTGGTTTGAATTTGAAACTGATTTAAAAAGAGTTCCGATGGAGTTTCTTGCTCGTTCTTCTCCATTGGAATCTACACTTCGGAAAGAGCAAATAGTTTCACTAAGAAGACTAAGCGACAGACTGACACTTTTTATCTTTAAACTTTGTTTGACGTTCAAAAGTGCCTGTAAAGGTCTAATTGAAATAAATAATTTTGACTTTGAACGTAATTGCAATTCGTCAAAAGTTGCAATCTATTTGGCCATTTGCAATCTTATAAAAATGTTAATTTTATTAACTTACATGGTATACAGCATTCCATGCCATATTGTTCTTCATCTGGACATAAACCCCTTAGCTCTATCCTGGTTCCTGGTGGGCAGTTACCTATCACAGCGCAAACACCATTCAGTCTTGAGCACGATGGTTGGTCCAACAGAGTGTCATCTGTGACTGATTGAAAATATAGTTATTTTAATTAAATAAAATTATGTTATACAATGGAGTACTTTTTAAAAAAACCTATTTGCTATACTAAAGTTGGTGTAGTATCAGCTCGCCCCCTGGATCTTGCCCCTTCCGATTAAAATGTTCCACTCGCCCCGTTTTTATTAATTTGGGAGTTGTGGTTCGCCCCTTACGAAAACCCTTACGGGGCGAGTGAAAAATTTAACAATTAAATAATTATTTTGATGCATCGACTCGCCCTTTGCGGCATTCCCTTTGAAATTTAACTAAAAAAGGTTTATTCAGAAAAATGTACAGTAAACAAAACTGGTAAGTAATTTAACCACTTGTGATAGTTTTATTACCTGGCTTACCTACTGTAACAAAAGCGACCTTTTATGGGACCATTATTGAAGTTTTAAGAAAAAATATTCATTTAAATATTTTATAAACTTAGAGTTCTGATAGTACTTTTAACTAACCAACAATCGGGGGCGAGTTGGAGTATTAGATCTAATAATTTAAGGGGCGAGTTGATGCACTGAGGCAATCAGAAGCGAGCTGAGCCTACACCCTAAAGTTGATAAACAGTTTCAATTCAGGAAATTTATAATAAAAGTCAAAATGAAATTCGCAAAAAAATATTCAAATAATGACGATGAACTTTTTCGTGACTTGCTCAACTTTTTAGGAAGGAAGTGTGGGAGAGCCATGCTTCGGCACTAATGGGTCGGCTCGACCGGAGTGATACCACGGCCTCACAGAAAACCGGCGTGAAATAACCACTGCGTTGTGTTTCACCCTGTGAGTGAGGTTACCGGAGGTCCAATCCTTCCCCTTCCCCAATCCCTCCTCAATCCCTAAATCTCCAAATCCCTAATCCCTAAAAGGTCGGCAACGCACTCGTAACTTCTCCGTTGCGAGTGTCCATGGGCGTCATGTCATAATAATTTGACTAAAAAGTGATGTACATATTACATAACAAAAAAACTATGTGATGTACACTAGCTTTTGCTTTTGTTCGCGTGGAATAGTCCTGCAGTTTTTTGTTTTAAAAACTATCTTATGTCCTTTCTCGAGTTCCAAACAATATCTGTACCAAGTTTTATTTATTTATTTATTTATACTTCATGCACAATTTAGTATGTACATTAGGCGGACTTAATGCATTGAGCATTTATTGCCAGTCGACATTTTGCTGAGTCGAAATTTTACACAAATAGATCCAGGAAAGACAGACAGTCAGAATTACTTTCGCATTTATAATATTATAAGTTTGAACTTGTTTGGATAATATAACTATTAATATGAACTGCACGATTAACAGATTGTCGAAATTATGTTTTTTAAGATCTTCTTTTTTTTTTTATTAAAACGTTGCCCCACATTAGGATTTGCTCCTATGTTATGGTTGCGGTGACAAACATACAATTTCACATACACAAGACTCCCAGACCCGGAACAACAATTTGTGGATCACGCAAAGAGTTGTTCCGTGCGGGAATCGAACCCGCGACACGTTGCACGGCAGCCAGTTGCCCAGCCACCGCACCAACCGTGCAGTCTGTTTTTTAAGATCACTAAACTTAATTGATTTCAGTTTCGATACTAAAATTCATAACAATATTACCTTTAAATGCAACCCTCAAAATTATAACCGGGTTGAATGACGTTATTATTAAAATTTATCAAACACTGAATTACAAATTATACAACTTTATGAACCAATAAAGAAAAAAAAATGGCAAAACTTAAACAAATGAATACTCAATTCTACTTACCACCATTGACGTTATTAGAAGTATCCCTTAAATGTGGCACTTGGTATAATGACTGTGAGTACAGTAAATTAAAAAGAAAAATAACAAGGAAAAGAGTATGGTGCATTTTCGACACCACCGATTGATTGTGAATGATATTGAAAAGTGATAGGATTTTTTGAAGATTATTTATTTATACTCCGATTTGTCATAAATAAAAGGACCATGAAATAGTATTTTGATGGTTTATCATTATTGTTCTCCATATTACAATGGGTAGATGACACTATACCAAATATTAGCATCAACACGTTCTGGGCAAATTCGAATTTGATTATTATTATAGCTGTAATAACATCTCAATAACGACCCATTGCTATAATTGAGCATTGATTTTCAAAACGTAAATAATTAAAGTAAATAGAAATCTCGCGGCGAGGCTTTAATTCATCCCAACCTGTGGTTTAGAAAAGGTGTTATTGAGATTTTCTTGAAATCTAAATTCTAATTGGGGAGAGTCATGCTTTGACACGAATTTGTCGGCTTACCCGGCTACTACAACACTACAACCTTATAAAACCTGTCGTCATGCAACGTTTGCGCCGCCCATGGACACCCGCAATGGAACAGTTACGAGTGCGTTGCCGACCTTTTAGGGATTAGGGGTTTGGAGATTTAGGGACTGGGGAGTGATTGGGGAAGGGGAAGGGTTTTGCCTCCGATAACCTCACTCACACGGCGAAAAACAACGCTGTGGTTGTTTCATGCCGGTTTTCTGTGACGCTGTGGTATCGCTCCGGTCAAGCCGACCCATTCGTGCCGAAGCGTTGCTCTCCCACACTTAGTGCCTATGTAATATAAATTATAATTTGAGAAATGCTATGACACGAATTTTTTGGCTCATCCCGCTAACACAACTTAACAAAAGCAGTCGTGAAACAACGTTTGTGGTGTGTTTATTGGTGTTACTCTCAACGTACCTGTAACTGCTTCAAGTGTCGCGCTGATTGTCTACCATCAGGTGATCCATCTGCTTATTTCTCTTCATCAATGACGTGCTGGAATTCTAAGTTTTTTTACATTCCTGGTGGTAACCGTAATCTTTTTTCTCTGTCTGTTTTAAACAACGTTAATAAACATAGAGATTTGAAGATAATTTTGAGATTAAAGTTCAAAAGATTCATTTAAATTTATCAAACTGAGCTCCTCAGTCTCAGTTAGTTAAAAGTGCATCTTGTGTCGTAGTGCGTCTTTGATGGCTCCTACAACATGGACGTCCATAGCAAGATTATGAACTCTTATAGGCGTGTACTTCTCTACTCCACTACACAATATTGGCTATAAATTGTCTGTAATTTTCTTTTTGTATGAAGCATACATTGACAGCCCTAATACTTAGTACCAACCATTGGTTATGTTAAGTTGATATTTTTATTTCAATTTTAATGTATTAGTAATTTTCCTTACTTTAATGTTTATGTTTACATACGGTAAGTGATGTGTACATCTGTTAAAGATATACATACAAGAACTCTGTCTCAGTCATAAAATTAGGAAAATGTATTTTACGTATATTGTTGATATACCTTATTAAATAAAATAAATAAAAATAAAAAATAATTATAACAGGAGGTGTAATATGAACGTAGAAGGTTTTTTAGATGTTGTAAAAAAACCTTTTTGCCGTAGTAGTTTAGCCTTGTTTCCGGAAGGCTTAAGATCGTTTGGCTTACACTACTGAAATACGGTATAGGAAAACAACGTGAACAAACCAAGTCCTAAAATTTTGCAATTAAAGTTTTTAATTATCAATCCTCCTTGAGCAATCGTGGTGAAATATAATCATAGCTTCTCCGTGTGAGATGAGACCTTTGCTTGGCAGTGGGCACTTAGGCGGATGATGTGATGTGATATTGGACCTTTATGTGTGTTATACCCGACTAGGCCCACAATGCTCCTTAATTAATGTATGTATATCTTCATGTACCCTACCACCTAAGTTCACATTGTGAAATTCAATAAATGAATTGAGTAATGTGATGATGTAGTGTTAAGTCAAGGTAGTCAAGTATATTGCAACACTAACTTTTGCCCGCGACTTTATTCGCGTGGAATAGTGACTTCCTGCAGATTTTTGGTGTAAAAACTATGCTATGTCCTTTCTCGAGTCCCAGATTATGTCTATACCAAATTTCACAGAAATCGGTTCAGTAGTTTAGGCGTGAAGAAAAGACTGACAGACAGAGTTACTTTCGCATTTATAATATTAGATTGGATTTGGATTATGACATTTTTATCTATATTCAGGGCTGATTTTACAATAGTCAGATAAGTGTTTTGAGCCCTTAATAAACTTACAACAAAATATTCAATGCATAAAAATGTACAGAAGAGGTCGAATGGGACGCTCTACAACTCGCGTTAGCACGCGTTTAACAAAAGCTATTGTTCGCATGCCGTTCACATGTAGGTCGCTGCATATCTGTCCTTGTCATTGAAACTGGAACTCAATCTGCATTGCAATGTCCTCAAAAGCCCATCCTCGGATACTTTCAGATATTTTATAATCTAATAGCGTACGTACCGTAGCTTCCACGTGGTCAAAGAAAAAAGTATCTTATGCTATTTGCGTTACAAATAAAATAATAATGTAAACAATTTGAATGAACAGCTTATAAAATTTCTTAATTTAAATGAATTGAAAAGTGTGTTAGAGTCACGTGTCATTTGTCACGAATGGATCTCAAAGAAAACCGGCGTGAAGCAATAATTATGTTGTGTTTTGTCGTGTGAATGAGGTTACCAAAGGTTCTATTCTTCCTCCCCCATGATGCTTGCAACGAACTTGAAGTAACTCCTTTGGTACTACGAGTGCTAACCATCAGGTATACCCGTCTGCTGATTTACAGACTTTTGACATAAAAAATAAATGATTAATATTATTACATAAAAAATAAATTAATGATTAATAATGCACGAATTTTCAATGTTTTGTTTTTATTTTGATTTAATTTACATAATAATGTTAAAACCAATTTAATATAGAAAAAAAAACATAAAAAAAGAATAAAAATATAGGTGCAACAATTACAGCTTCTTAATTCCAATAAAAGGAAGGAAATTTTGGTTAGAAGAATAGCTATGGAACGGAAATAGTGTAGAATGTGGATAAGAAAGACATCGCCGTAGGTCCAGATGATGGTGAGATGAAGTTGACTATTTCAAAGATAGTATAAGTCATAGAGAACTTTAGACGATAAAAGTGGAAGGAAAGTATGTATGGCAAACCCTACTAGTGAAAATAAATAATAAATGTAAGTTACAATAGCATGGAATTCTCTACATCGCATGCATTTTGATTTGCAAACAGCAGATCTCCTTAAAACCGCATCCAGTTGCATCTCGCACTTGCAGGTCAGGAGAACACTTGAATGATTTTGGGATGCATCGACCGTGTCTTGACCGACACTCAGTTAACCCCTTTACTGAAACAAAGGTGTTTGTTAACAAGAATATTCAATCAGTCAAATATTTGTATAGCCTCATTTAAAGAGACACAATAGACCCTTCATCGTAACTAGGTTGAATGACCGATGACATCGTCATCTTTATAATTAAGTGTGGGAGAGCCATGTTTCGGCACGAATGGGTCGGCTCGACCGAATTGATACCACGGCCTCACAGAAAACCAGCGTGAAACAACCACAGCGTTGTGTTTCGCCGTGCGAGTGAGGTTACTGGAGGCCCAATCCTTCCCCTCCCCAAATTTCTTTCCAATTCCCAAATCTCCCCAATACCTAATCCCGAAAATGTCGGCAACGCCCTCATAACTCCTCTGTTGTTGCGGATGTCCATGGACGGCGCTGATTGCTTGCCATCAGGTAATCCGTCTGATCGTTTGCCGACCTACCACATAAAAAAATTAAAATAATGGCAATAAATAGGTTATTTTTAAAATTTTCTACAGAATATGGGTATTGCTTTTATCAAACAAATCTGGAATATAGGTATGATTTAAAAACATAAATTGCCAGTATAAACAAAAAATTCGTGCAAGGATCGAACTCGCATGTTTTAGCGTACAGCAGCTAATAGTTGGTAATGTCTAAGCCACTAATATTAGGTTGGGACTTATAAAATAAATAATACTGCCACTAGCTAAGTTTTAAATGAAAGAGAT